ACATTTATTCGGTGGTCCTTTGAGCAGCTGAAAAGGAGGTCTCCATCGATGTTATATTTAATTTGTGTAAGCGAACGCTCGTGACCTAAAATATCACTTCAATATATCGTATATATGTAAACCTGATGGATATCCGCACCTTGAAGAAGAATTGGTCTCTATAATAAGGTGAGAGAAAGGATCAATAGTCGCTTTGTGGCGTTTTGCGAATCGCCCGTACCATCGCTTCCTACGATTTTTTACACTCGTTGATTAGAGATGATGTCAAGATGGTTAAACAGTAGAGGTTGGATTGTAATGAGGTGTAAAAATAAAAGAAACGCGCGAGTGGTCAAAATCCTTGTTTGCCCGTGTTTGGCTTTTGTCACTCAACAGGCAACCGTCCTTCGCCTCAAGCAGTCCTTAGAACCCAAAAGCAAAGCTTCGCAAGTTACACCTAGTCTCAACGAGACTCGCAGCATCTCTTTGATCAAAATATGGGAAAAGGTGCGACCATAATATCGACTTTATGAAACCGTATCATGCTGACTAGGCTTTCTATCCCCGCTATTTCACATCTGCTATTGCTCGAACGGATCAACCTCAATGGAACTGCTACTCCTGAATATTTGATCAATTTGGATTATGTTTACTTTAGTCCACGGATCTCTCGCCCGTGCCGGCAAAGTCAGGTCTCAGACTCCAAAGGTGGAGAAGCAGGAGAAGAAGAAAACCCCCAAGGGCCGTGCTAAGAAGAGGATCATTTACAACCGTCGGTATGTACAAGCTCTCGCGTTCAAAAACGTTGGGCTTATTCAGTTTCGTTTGTAGCTTCGTCAATGTCACCGCTGCCCCAGGAGGCAAGCGCCGAATGTGAGTATTTTTATTATCATACGGGTCATTTCCACGAGTCATCTCGGTACCCTACCTTTCATGATGAGCGAATATCACCATTCAAGTCCCCGAATTATCTGGTGTCGACAAAACATCGTCTTTTCTGACTCATCACCCCTTCCGTCCTTCCTCCTTCATACCGTTCGATTCCTGATCACTTGCTCATATTTGTTTATAGGAACCCCGCACCAGAGAAGTAAACACGACTCTGGTCGATTTGCTGGGCTTCATACTACATTATCGGTTACGGTTTTCACTTAGCTCCAGTCGTCGAGTACGGAAGCTTATCATCCAAAAATATGGCATAAGCGTTGAAGATCTAGGCTCTACGATCATACATGTATACATTAGTGTCGTATTGAACATGCTTGCGACTCAATTAATGTTATGATATAAGAATACTAAGTATGTATATGAGTTCTGCTAAGATTATACAAGGTAAGTACTCTGAGAAACCAGCATAATTCGGTGATCAATGGGGAGAGTGATGCCTCCTCATAACCTGAACCCCCCTAATGTCGACTTGGGTGCCATTTGAAACCGAAACTGACCTAGTCATAGTCGAAAACCTCAAGATCGATGCAAATGTAGGACCTGATTGCTGGGGTCGCTCCCGTCCTCAACCTCTATTAGTTTCAGTAGCTCTAGAAGCGGACCTACGGCTTGCAGGGGAGCAAGATGACCTCACAAACTCTGTAAACTATGGCTCTTTGTCCAAGGATTTGTTGAGGCTCGTCACTTTGGATCAGTCCAAGCAGTTCGGCGGCTTAGAAGACCTGGGCGAACAAGTAGTACAATTAGCCCTTGCCAAAGTGACCAACCCGTCCTTCAGAGTAGCTGTCTCTATTAAAGCGCCCAAATTACTCCTTCAGGACGCGAAAATCCGCTTCGATATTACGCGAGATGGGTCCAATGCTGCTACGAGAGGGAAGTATACCTGGGTGATCGAAGATTGGAGGATATACGTCCTGATTGGGATGAATCCTCCGGAACGATTGAAGAAGCAGGTGCTTATTCTTAACATGCAAGTCTTTACGAGCCCCACGGAAAGAGTCGAAACAAACGCTCTCCCCGACTTTGTGGACCATCTATTCAAGGTGAGTATATATCGACAGTTTGAGACAATACGAAACTAAGTAGTCACAGTTTATCGACACAACAGAATTCCTTACGCTAGAGAAATTCTCGTCCGAAGTGATAAAGCACGCTATGCAACTGCGCGAAGATGTCGCCTCTATCGTTTTGACAACATCGAAGCCGAGTGCGGTCGGTTTTGCAGATGCTGCTTCTATCCGAATTAAGCGCTATCGTGCATAAAGGCATGTATGATGTCAAAAGGACAAAATGCCATAAACCCCAAACGCATATATGACACTGGGCATGTCGAGTGGTGTAATGTACAAACACTTTTAGAACTATGGTGATCCAACCTTGAATGTGTTGTGAAGACCGACAATATCGTCAGCACCGTTCATTGGTCCTGAGCAGCTGGCCATCGCCTCTCTCCTTTGCATATCCTCCTCTTCTGCAGCAATTAGGGCCGACTTTTGCATAGCAACAGTCAAGCCTCCAACAATGCTTCCATTGGGATGAATCCCATTGACACCCGGTCTTGTCACTTCCACTGGTCGTGGGGCAGTCAGTCTAGCTTTCTCACTTCTACTCCACTCCACCCATGCCAAATACTCCTCATTTACATCTCCAGTCACATACTCTCCAGTGAACACAGAGCAATCGAAATGATCCAACTGGGTGTTGAATTGCCGTACAGAGTTGACAAGGTCTGGGAGGGTTTGGTAGATCACCAGGTCTGCGCCTAGAGCTGCTGCTATCTCGTCTTCATTTCGATGATATGCGACTAACTCTTCGCGCGAAGGCATATCAATCCCGTATACATTCGAGAAGCTAAAGAAGATGAGCTTAGTCCGGCAGACCAAATAGTTGTACTCACCGAATGGGAGGGGCACACGACGCAAAAACTACCCTGACCGCACCAACGTCTTTGGCCATCTGGATTATTTCCTTTGATGTGGTTCCCCGGACTATCGAGTCTGTACAGAATGAGAATGAGGGATGACAGAAGACATACTGTACATACCATCCACTATCAA